TCACGTAACACAGAACTAAACAGACTGATGACAGGTTAAACAGCGACTTCTCCTGAGTGATACGACTGATCCCTGTTTCTCGTCAAGTACAGGGACTGTCTCTCCAACGGACAGCCTTCCGAAGCAGAAGACCTTGCTTCAGAGTTCAATTCCTATGTGTCGTCTGAAGCCACTCTGTTCAGACCGGGCATCTTCCTGGCCAGCCTGCCCATTATTATCAGATAATGAAACCATTAAGAAACAAAACGAGGGAAAAGCCTACCCGTGGTTTAGAGACCAATTTGTAAAATTGACTTTAAAGTCTGTGGTAGAAATTTTTGTCTTTATCTTATTTATACGGTATTCTAGTAGCGTAAACACAGCTTAACAGTCACAGCACTTTGTATTTTTACCCTGTAATATTGTGCGGTATGCATTAAGAGCCCATTTAAATACTGTACGACCTCAGCAGGCAGAAGTATCTCCATTTTGGCATGTTTAAATTTGTTTGGGTTCTGGCAGCACTGAAATTTTTAAACAAATGTTGCTAGGCAAAAAGTCAGGTTGGCATTGTAAATATCTGCCTGAGTAAACAGGAATGGAGGGCTGAGAGGACAACCAGAAAAGCCACAACACAATGTGGTACAAACTGGCAGTGATGAACCTTGGCTCCTAAGGCTCAGAATCCACTTTCACCGTGGGAAAAGTACACTGAAGATCTGCCACACGCTTCTGAAGAGGTTAACGTGTGGCACCTTTCACATACTGAGCTGCAAATGAAGAAGTAAAATTCATTTAACTGACCTCTCCGATCAAAGCTGGTGGGTTCACTCGAGGATTGTGCTTAAGTCGTTTTGTGCGTCCCACCCTGTCCCTCCCTCTGTCCCGTACCCTGACATGTTGCGGGTGCCCGGAACAGCAGCGTTACGTACACGGCAGATTCAGGACAAAAAAAGAAATGAAGCGTGCAAACAGAGAACGGATCATATGACCGATTCTTTGGTTTCTAATCCAGTGGGGACAACGTGCTGGAGTTTGTTACAAACCTCACCAGAGTTTCTAGCAGATGCTGTGGCTATGTACAGACACTCCTTTTGAGATACTACAGACTTGCTAAATTTCTAAAGATTTTTTTTCCCTGTTGGTTATTTTACCAAAAAAAAAAAAAATATTATAATATGGAGTTGGAAATATATGAAAAAGGAGAAAGTTACAAAGGAAAACATAAAAGCATTGAAAGTAAATAAGGAAAACGAGAAAGAAAAGAGATGTTTAAAAGCAACCCCCCAAATTCCATCCTGCAAAGTACAGCTAAAACAAGATGAAGAAGGTACCAGTGCTTAAACACAGACTGACAGACACACACAAAAATCGCATGTTTTTTGTTACAATTCCCAGAAGACTGCCAGTTTCACAGATGGTCAGCCATCATTTAATGTGCTTATTTATTAGATAAATTTATTAATTATGAATATTATTGGAATTGGTTAATACAGTAACATTTTTCTACTAATAACTTTAACATTAAATTTTAAAAGCTGATTATAACTAAAGGATACTTGATTATAACTAAAGGATACTTCACAACTATTTTACTTTTTCAAATGTCATGGATATGCTGACATGGGTATTTTCTACCCTGACCAGAAGCATTTTTTCAAGGCCATAACAGATCCCAAAAGCACTTAAATAACACTTATGTCTGGATCTCAAGTCAACATTTAGTTGTAGCATCTGTATAAATAATACGTACTTACTTCAGATGAATAATACAACCTGCCCCAGGTGTTACACACCCATATGCACTTACAGACACACACACACACTTACACGTGCACATTCTTAGCAGCCAAGTGCCCACAACTCCACAAATCACCAGACACTTCTTATGGGATCAATATGCGCGATTAGAACCTCTCACTTGGGCAGTTCATGAAACCGCTACAAAACGGCCTCCAGTGGATTTCAAGTCTAACCAAAACGTTCCAGAAGAGTGAAGAGATGTTACCTGACAGCTATTTTCTGCCTGAAGCAGAGCACGCAGGAAGTTCTTTGGCACGGATTAGAGACCTTGAAAGAGACATTTTGGTTTTGAGAAAGAAACCCCAGAAGTAGAATGGTAGCAAAAATTCTTACCTCCCCATTTTCAAATGTAATTTCTCGAACTAGCGGTACACATTTATCTTGTGTCCAGGCATAAATCAAATCAAAATTGGTTAGCGAGCCTAAATACACCATATCTGGAGCATTTTCCTGTTGAAAAGAAAAAAGTACTAGTTGAGAAACAGTAAAATCAACATCGCTGCCTCCCAAGAACATCACCTACCCCACAAAGTAACAATACCCATATAAATAGTGAAAGCCAATCTTACAGCAACATCCAACCCTTGTGCATGCAACATTTCTATTAACTACGTTACAAAAGTACCACAGGAAAATAAATATTATATATGATAATTTATACAGTCAACTCCACTTTTTAAGATGACTGAAGAAGAACTGAAAAGATACTTTATCTCCAACCTAGGAATGCTTCAAATAAAGGCTATTTAGCCTTCTGTTAGGTTGAGAAATAGTATCTCCATACCTAAAAACCCCATTTAGATAGAAATTAAATGCAGATATTACACTGCTTCATGCTGATAGTTACAAAGACGCACCAAAAAAACCCTCCTGATGTCCTACAGGACTTGAAACTAGCATTTTATATTTGCATTGCAAGAGATACAAATAAATTACAGTTTTCCTTTATTTGTTAGTAGTTTTAACTCGGAATTCAGTGCTGCCATCTTGTAATGTAATTACAACTTTGGTTAACATGAAGTGAAGCATGACTTCGGAAGCTGCGGCCATGATTCAGCACACTTTAATTCAGAACCGCCATATAATTTAGGTAACCTAATAAAACCTGGTTTTGCAGAAAAAGGTTTGAAACGCCCTCCCTCCTCAGGCCTTTTTCTATTCATTTCTCTTTTGTAAGCAACTCTTTTCGTCCATTAAATCTGAGAGAGGAGCAGATTTTCAGATATTAGTTACTTTTCTAAAAAGCAATTCTTGCAGATTGTCTTCTGTACTGAATTTCTCCTCAAGTAGAACTATGTTTATGAGGGTTTGTTAACATACAGTTAATTTTACTAATTCCTTTTTTTTTCAAACAAAGAGAACAGCTCGTAACCCCTGTGGGCTAAGACACACAAGACAGGCAAGTGACAGTCAGAAAAATACTTGGTAATTGCCACTTGCTTTGAAAAACATGAAGTGCATCAGCTATTGAACTTCACCAATTTTTAAGACTTCTACAGAACACAAACTATCTATACACACGATGAGTTGATGTGTTTCTATGATAAAAAAAAATAAGGACATTGACGTTTAAAACAGCAGATTTAGGTTTTGTGCACTTAATGGCAACAAATGAGACGCAGATCTTTTTCACTGACTCAGAAACACTAGTTCCTATGGTCCTATTGCTCACACTATTTAGTGATGAAATAAAATTAAGTTTTGAGACGGAGGAAAAGACTGAATGATCTGAATATAGTCTCCATTCATTCATATTCACGTGTAATGACAATAAGCAGAATAAAATGCATAGTTACACTTACCCCTGGTGGCTTGTAGATTACATTGTCTCCGCTAAATCTCTCTGCTTTTGAAATAGCCCTACAACAAACCAACCAGTAAGCATGTCTTGGTACTGACAAATAAAATAACTGAGACACCAAAAACCGTATTTTTATTTGCTATCCTTTTGTTACTTTTCTTCCCTTCAATATTTGAGAATTAAAATCCTTGATCCTTAAAGTAAACTGCACAGCGACTCCACCCGAAGCTTGGCCTGGCTAGCTAAGAGGGCATTAAGGGAGTCAGCAGGATGTATCCCTAAGGTTAGAAGTGTGGACTAAAGGCATCGAAGTGCAAGTGATGAATGCTGGTACAATTCTGGATAAGAGACCAGAGAAAAATGTTAATGAATTAATAGTATCATGTAAATAAAAAAAAAAACCCAAACCTATTCTTAAGGGAGGAAAGGAGAGAAAGGTGGATTCTTGTCTGCATTTACTCTTCCTGTTCCACTGTTTACACGAGAAATGTATGTCTTATCCACCCTGGTAAAGAAGGGCTTTGAGGTGCTTTACTGGCACAAGCAACTAGGAAATGGGACAGTGAACAAGCCCACGTCCTACCCTCAAAACAGAGTCAGACGTGCAGTTTCTGACCCCCGATGCTACAGTATGCGTGTACCTGGAGAACACATGCAGTTCCTCCTCGGTGTTCAGCTCGCCCTGTCACCTGAGCGAGTTCCTCCCTGCCTCTGGAATATTTTGTGGTTCCGTAATCCCAGTCACTACAGAGCGCCCTGAAAGCTGCTGGCTTGTCCCTCTCAAATTACCACCTCTTATTGAAACAGATGGGGTCAGCTATGCATCCAACACAGGAGATAGAAAAAAAAATAAGGAAAGCAAGCTCTCAACAACAAAAAAACCCCTTTCACCACCTTCAGACAGTGGAAGAGGCCTCCTTCTTTCTTCCCTCCCATGCCTCGCTGTTCCAACGTAACTCATGCCGGCAAGACAGAACTGACTGGCTGCATGTGCCACAAAAGAGTAAAAGTTTGTCTGTCTTTTAGCATAGGCCAAAAAGAAAGCATGTCAGCCTCTGGGAAACATTAGCTAAGTGTTCCAGCTTCTCTAATTATAGCGTCTCTTCTGTGGACTCAATATAAAGCATTGGTGAAGACTGATTACGAGATGTAAGGGGGAGGGAAAAAAAAAGAAGTAAAAATATCTCAAGTTATCTCACTGCAAGATGAGGTAAGTCTTCTAGGGGTTTGAACAATTTAGAGGGCCAAGAAAAAAAGACATCATAAGGCTTAACTCAAAGTACCTACGATTTATTTAATTTGATCCAATTATCCTTTTCTTATCACATACAAAAGACGTCTTGCATAGTATGTTACACCTATCAGTATTTGTGCCAGTTTAGAGACGTGTATTTTAAAATGCATTTTTGTATTCCAGAGATAACTGCACCCACAAAATGAAATAAGGCTTCCTTGTGACCGTCATCACAGAGGGAAACCACTCTCATCCCAAACAATCCTTCGCTGAATAAGCAGAAAGGGAAGACATAAAAGCCACCCGGCCCAATCGCTGCTTGGTAAGCTGAAAATAATCTTTAATGAAATATACGCTCTAGGCTAAGCCCACAGTGGACCCCAAAAGGTCCTTTCGGTGTTCTTCCACTTCAGTAGCTGCAGTTGTGACTGATTTGTCTCAGAGAACTCAGAGCGGGGATGTGATGTGAAAGTCCCAAACGCCTGAAGATACACCTTTTTAAAACAACCACCAAAATGGAAACACTTCAGTTTGCATTTTGTCTCTTCCTGAAGCAGTAACGTAGAAGGTGAACCTCTTGGAACCACACAACCCCCGCCCTGTATTTGCTTGCCAACATAAAATTCCAACAGTTCCTAGATTAGTCACCCTCTTCCATGAGTTACTGACAGTTCATCGCAGCCTTTTAAGATAAAAGTCTTTGTCGGCTGTTTTGGTTTTCTGCATTTGGCTTCCTATGCTACGGCTCAATGACACAAGGCCATTCTCTTCCATGTTTACCAACATTTCTGATTTATCCCTCTCTAATTCTACTTCTAAAAATCCACATCTAATAATGTCTTCATCAGTATCCCTCCTATCTCCTTCTGCTCACAAATCTTCTCTCATTAATCTCGCTCTGCAGTCACCTCAGGTCTTAACAGAACTGTAAGGATCAGCTGATTCAAGAACAGTTTTAAGCATCGAGACGATCTGCAACTAAATACCATTAATGCAGTTTAAAAATACGCTATTACAATTACCTAAAGCCAGAATAATTTTGGCATCGCAGTTCTGCCTTAACAGAAGTTAGCCAAGTAATTATTTTTTTTTCCTGTCAAATTGATGGAGTTTATTTTAGCTTACTAGAAGTCTGAACATGACAGCTCACGTTACCGTATAGCTCCCAAACCATATACCTGTTGAACTCTGTCCATAGTGAAACCAAAGATCCCTCCCAGGGCCTGTTAGGATGCTCAGTCAGAAGCGTTCAGCTGATCAATGCCAGCTCCCCATGAACAGTTTGTTATATATAATCTGAACAGAAAACGCTGTTATATAGCCAGTATCTCCCTCAGAAGTTTTTTCACACATAATTTTTTAGGAAGCTTGAGAGCCACAGCCACTCAGAGATGAAAACAATTCGTTTCCAAGGTTGCTGTCTGGAAGGCTGCACTTTAAAACACGAACAGCTCCAGGCTAGAAAGGGAATGGGAGTCTGGAGAAGAGAATAACGACAAGCCTGCTGTGCGATCTGTAGTTACACAAGCAGGTTACAAATAATCAAACTCTGATCTGTTCCAGCACGTTTCCTTATTGCTTATATCTCAATTAAAAAAAAAAGAAAAAATAAAAATCCCAGAGTAACTATTTCAAGAATGGCCTCCAACAACCAAATGCTCACACCGAGCGGCAGGAGACTATTTCTCATTACGCTGACAAAGAGCAAACCAATGATGAACGGACTCAAACAACAGGAGAGAGAATCTTGGTATTGTTGTCTTACTAATGTTTTGTTTTTTTTTTTAAAAGGC